GCGTGCGTGCGTGCGTGCGTGCGTGCGTGCGTGCGTGCCGTGCGTGCGTGCGTGCGTGCGTGCGTGCGTGCGTGCGTGCGTGCGTGCGTGCGTGCGTGCGTGCGTGCGTGCGTGCGTGCGTGCGTGCGTGCGTGCGTGCGTGCGAGCGTGCGTGCGTGCGTGCGTGCGTGCGTGCGTGCGTGCGTGCGTGCGTGCGTGCGTGCGTGCGTGCGTGCGTGCGTGCGTGCGTGCGTGCGTGCGTGCGTGCGTGCGTGCGTGCGTGCGTGCGTGCGTGCGTGCGTGCGTGCGTGCGTGCGTGCGTGCGTGCGTGCGTGCGTGCGTGCGTGCGTGCGTGCGTGCGTGCGTGCGTGCGTGCGTGCGTGCGTGCGTGCGTGCGTGCGTGCGTGCGTGCGTGCGTGCGTGCGTGCGTGTGTGTGTGTGTGTGTGTGTGTGTGTGTGTGTGTGTGTGTGTGTGTGTGTGTGTGTGTGTGTGTGTGTGTGTGTGTGTGTGTGTGTGTGTGTGTGTGTTTGTGTGTGCCTGCGCGTGCGTGTGTGTGTGTGTACGTGCGCTAGCACGTGTGTGTCTGCGCGCCTGCTTTTGACTTGCAGCCTGGTGCGTCAGGGTGTTGGGGTTATTCTGCGCCTGTGTGATTGAGACGCAGTTGGTCTGCTTTGGCTGGCTCACTGGCTGACTGACTGGCTGGCTGGTGGTTGGTTGGTTGGTTGGTGGGTTGGTTGGTTCGTTGGCGTGTTGGTTGGTTGGTTCGTTGGCTTCGCTTGTTGTTGGCTTGTTTGTTTTTGGTTGTGTTTTGATTGTTTGTGTATTTCTTGCGCGTGTCTTCCCCCGCCACACGCTCACGCATCTGTTCTCCTGTCTTCAATAGCAACCGCGACCCACTGCGGGTTTGAGTTTGCTTGTCCGGCATCGTAGCAGGTTCGGAGGCTAGACGACCCAAACCCCACCTGGCACGCATTTAATGCATCGAGGTAGTTTAAGATGCATCGAGTTGGCCTAAAATGCAACTAGTCGCATTTTGGTGCACCGAAATTGCAACTAGTCACATTCATCAGTAGTCACGTTCTTGCCACAACCACAGCAGGTGCAATGATCAGAGCCGCAGTGTTCTGCGGGACACGCGCGCGCATGTCATGTCACATGTGTTCATGCCTGGCATTACAAGGTGTGTGCAGGGCGCTGCTTAATGAGAAGAACACATGACACAATGATGTTTTATGTTGTGTTTTTGGAAAGATCCGGCCCGGGTGAAACAAGCCTCTTTTGCGCAGGATCACCTTTAGATAAAGCATCAAACAGTCCATGTGAACCACAAACAGTCCAGAACCCTAATGCCTGATTAGGGTTGAGTCATGAGCGCGAGCGAACTCGACATCTGGTGGTTGCGAGCAACTATATATACATAAATATATACATATATATCTATGTCCCCTGGCAACACACATGTGTGAATACATGTTCGTACATGTTTATACACATATCTAACTATATAATGGCATATAGAGATATGCAATAAGTTTATAACTAGAAACATAGATTAACATATACGTATACAACTGGCAACATATCCAAATATATATAGTTGAACAGATTTACGTGCATGTACAAATATATACCTATGCACTTAACTACTGTAACTACATACATGTGTGTCTACATGTACCTTTACAAAGGCACACGTATATAAGCATCTGCTCTATATTCTGTACATGTATAAATGTACACACGCATCAACCTATGAATGCACAACTAAATATAAACAACTACATGCGTAAACGGCAGACTGTGTGCCGGATTGACTTTACAAGACGACCGCCCCCTCGTGGGTGGCCTGGATGAGCTTCTCTTGTGATAGCTCCACCGTGCCATCGGCCAGCTTCTTCCTTGGCGCCGTGCTCCAAAGTGCCGTTCTTCCTGGAGTCAGCCTATGCTCCGAAGTCGAACATCGCCTCCAACTTGTCCAGGATTTTGTCCTCGATGCCCGCTTCCCAGCGTCTGCTCGTAGTAGTACATGAAGAGAGCCCGGTCCAGGGCGCTCTGCACAAAGCCCAACCGCCGCAGCGTATCCCTCAACTGGCCAAAACAAGCGTGGGGAATTGGCTAGTGCGCAAATCAGCCCTCTGCTTGGGCTTCCCCCTGCCTGGAAAAATCTCGTACTTACCTGGCTGCAGCTTGTGTGGCTCCCACAAACAAAGCAAAGTAGATGGCAGAATTCAACACGTGGGCTTGCCAAGCAGCCCAGGCTTCGATCTCGGCTTCGACTTCTTGAAAGGCTGTGCTTCCATAACTCCTGCAAGGCTGCCTTGCCAAATCAGCCTTTGCTTGCCTGGTTAGGCTTCCCCCTGCCTGGAAACTTCTCGTAATTAGACTTCCCCGCTGCCCGGGCGGCTGCCTTGTGGAGACACTGCCCTCCGAAGCAAAGTAGATGGCACAATTCCACGCGTGGGCTTGCCAAGCAGCCCAGGCTTCGATCTCGGCTTGGACTTCCTCGAAGGCTGTACGCTCCTGCAAGGCTGCCTTGCCAAACCAGCCCTCTGCTTGCCTGGTTGGGCTTGGAAAAATATCGTACTTGCCTGGCTGCAGCTTGTGTGGCTGGGACTTCCCCGCTGCCCGGGGGGCTGCCTTGTGGAGGCCCTCCCACAAACGAAGCAAAGTAGATGGCACAATTCCATGCGTGGGCTTGCCAAGCAGCCCAGGCTCTGGAAACATCTCGTACTTACCTGGCTGCAACTTGTGTGGCTTGACTTCCCCGCTGCCCGTGGAGCGCATGGGCTTGCGAAGCAGCCCAGGCTTTAATCTCGGCTGTGCGGCTAAGCCCTCTGCTTGCCTGGTTGGGCTTCCCGTACTTACCTGGCTGCAACTTGTGTGGTTGGACCTTGTGGAGGCACTGCCCCTCCCACAAGCCAAGCAAACTCAAAGGCTGTACTTCCATAACTCCCTGCAAAGCTGCCTCCCTCTGCTTGCCTGGTTGGAATTTCCTTTTGGGTGGAAAATCTCGCACTTACCTGGCTGCAACTTGTGTGGTTGGACTTCCCCGCTGCCTGAACGCTGTGTTCAAAGTAGATGGCACAATTCCATGCGTGGATGCAAGGCTGCCTTGCCAAATCAGCCTGCTGGGCTTCCCCCTCCTGGAAAAATCTCGTACTTCGCAACGTATGGTTCCACAATGGGGCCCCACAAACAAAGCAAAGTAGCTGGCACAATTCCATGAGGTTTGTGAAGCGCTGTGCTTCATATCTCCCTGCAAGGCTGCCTTGCCAAAGCAGCCCTCTGCTTGCTTGGTTGGGCTCCCCTGCCTGGAAAAATATTGTACTTACAGAGGGCTGCCTTGTGCCCCTGCCGCAATAGCGCAATTCCACGCAGCTTGGACTTCCTCCAAGACTGTACTTCCATAACTCCCTGCAAGGCTGCCTTGCCAAATCAGCCCTCTGCTTGCCTGGTTGGATTTCGCCCTGCCTGGAAAAATCTCGTACTTACCTGGCTAACTTGTGTGGTTGGACTTCCCCGCTACCCGGGGACCCTGCCTTGTGGAGGCACTGCCCCTCCCACAAATGAAGAATTCCACGCATGGGCTTGCGAAGCAGCCCAGGCTTCGACAGCCCAGGCTTCGATCTCGGCTTGAACTTCCCAAAGGCTGGACACTCCCTGCAAGGCTGCCTTGCCACCTCAGCTTGGTTGGACTTCCTGGACTTCCCCCTGGAAAAATCTCGTACTTACCTGCAACTTCCCCGCCCGATGGCACAATGTCCTGCATGAGCTTGCGAAGCAGCCCAGGCTTCGATCTCGGCTTGGACTTCCTCACAGGCTGCACTTCCTGCAAGGCTGCCTTGCCAAATCAGCCCTCTGCTTGCCTGGTTGGACTTTGCCCTGCCTGGTAAATCTCGCACTTACCTGGCTGGAACTTGTGTGGCCGGACCCTGCCTTGCGGAAGCGCTGCCCATCCCACGAACGAAGAAAAGTATGGCACAATCTCATGGCAGCCACGACCTCGTCGGCCCCTCCGTCGTCACGGCTATCTCCAGGGCCGAAGCTGCCTCCGTGACTCAGCTTGCAGGGCGGTGGCGATGCTTGAGGCCGTTGCTGTGTCCTGGTCGGCAGCTGAGCAAGGCGCGGGCTTGCGAAGCAGCTCAGGCTGCGAAAGACAGATCTCGGCTTGGACTCCCTCAAAGCTCAACTCCCTGCAAGGCTGCCTTGCCACAAAATCGGACCACTACTTGCCTGGTTGGTTCGCTGGTTGGGCTGCCTTGTGGAGGCACAAAAATAGCCCTCTCCCTACCTGGCTGGTACTTGTGGGCTGGACTTCCCCGCTGCCTGGGGCTGCCTTGTGGAGGCACTGCCCCTCCCACAAACAAACAAAGTAGATGGCACAATTCCGGGCATGCACTTGCGGCAGCACAGGCTTCGAAAGACATGGAAGGAACCCACACCAGCTGGCGGGACTTCCTCGAAGGCTGGACTTCCTCAAATCAACTCCGCTACCTGGGAGGCTGCCTGCCTTGTGAGGCGCTGCCTTGTGGAGGCACTGCCGCAAAACTCTAAATGCAACCATTCCCATCAGCCCAAACCGCAAAGAGCGGCAGCCTTTGGCGAGTGAGCGAGCGAGCGAGCGAGCGAGCGAGCGAGCGAGCGAGCGAGTGAGTGAGTGAGTGAGTGAGTTTGTGAGTGAGTGAGCGAGCCAGTGAGCGAGCGTGAGTGGACGCACTGAATTGTGCCATAAATTAGTCTTAGGGGGCAAAAAAATGCGCCATCTATTTTGCATCCCGTTTGACCCCCAATTATCTGGCGCCGGCGCGCGGAGTGTAAATTATCTTCGCTGAAGAAAAGTAGATGGCACAGACCGTTTTTTTGAGCCATCTATCTGCCGGGTAGGGCACATAGGGTGCCCTTTTGTCGGGTGCCCTGGCGGTCAACCCCGGCAACCGCCAGCAGTGCCGGGGGGCTTCCGGCAACGACCCCTGTCGCGAGGCGTGCCTCTCCCGCCTCGCCATCAAGAAGCCGCCCTTGCACAGGGTGCAGACACCCCTTATGCCCGTCAGCTTCCAAAGAGCCTGTGTCGGAAACCTCCCCTGACTCCTACTCCTCTGGTATCCCTTCCTCTCCAGCTCCGACAACGCTGGCTTTGACTTGGGCCAGTCGGTCGCTCAGTCTCTGGTCTCCGGGCCCCTACGCTTGTTGGGAGCCTGGCAAGTCTGTCAGGCTTATGTGGACCAAGTCCTCGCTGTGGTCTCTGCTTCTGCTGGCCGTTGAGCCCTTCCTGACCTAACTCTGTGAGCAGCTCACCGAGTTGTTTGTGCGCAGCAATGCGTGGCCTCGCACCCTCACAGACCAACTGCTTTCCGCATCCATGGAAGGTTTGCCAAGCGGGATGCTATCATGGCCCTGTCCTCGGAGGACGCCCTGGCCGCCTTGACCAGCTTGGCCATCCCCTTCATATTCAAGTTGAGACCAACATGGTCAAGAGCACCGACCTGACCAGTGTTTGGACTTGGCACCCTTCTTCCGTCCGGGTCTCCATGGCAACCCGGAGACGGAGGTCAACGTTACCCTGGCGTGAGTCCGCCACTGGTTGCTGCTGACATGTCTGGTGGCAGTGCTTGGGGCGGTTGAGTATGCATGCTGCCAAAGCCTTGGGGCCGGTTCCATCTGTTCGGCTCCTTCTAGTCCTTCTTGGGGTCCATCTCCGACTTCGTCGTAGTACTCCGTGCCGGACGCAAGTGTGCCATTGAGATAAGCCTGCCACCTATTGGAGGGGGCTGCGCTGGGCTGGCCGAACGGCTGTGTCAGATTACCCGTTGGTTGTTTGGAGTAAGGCCCTAGCGAAGCTCTATGGGGCTGGCGCTGTCTTTCAAGAGCACTTTGAAACACTGGAAAAAGCCCAATGTTTGTTGCTGAAGACTGGAAAAACAAGTGGTTTGACGAGGCTGATCCAAGCTGCCTGCGCGTGCCTCTGCGCATTACAAACAAGAAGCCTGCGAGAAAAGTCGCAACAAAATTGGCGAAAAACAAGCGTGACTGAAGGCTTCAAAGCGCTGAAGCGACCTTTTTCCCTGCCGAAACACGTGCGTACCGCGCCCGCGTAAGCGGTTCTCTGCGCGCGCGCGGAGCCGCTTGCGAGGAGCAGCGTTGCTGCTGTTGTTCTTGCTGTTGTTGTCGCTGTTCTGTTGCTGCTGCTGCTGCCGTTGTTGTTCTTGTTCCTGTTCTTGCAAACACTTAGGAGCGAGAGCCAGCGGATACAAAGCTTGGCGCGCTGATGCCGCGGCCAGTTGTGCACCGGCAGCTTAAATCCAGCCTCGCCGCGCTACGTCGCCGAAAGGGGCGCGTGCCTAGGCTTTACCTTTCGGCTGACGGCCCTTGCATCGTCTGCGTGTCCAGCGCCTTTGGCGCATCAGGCCATTGGAGCTTGAGTTGGGGGAAGGCTCAAAACACTGCGAGTTGCAGCAGCACGGCTGCATTGCCAGCAGCGCTTGCGTCGCCCGACTTTGCGGCGCGCACGTGCATGCGTGCGTGCGTGCGTGCGTGCGTGCGCGCGTGGGGGGCGGGCGGGTAGGCGTGATGGTTGGTGTGGGTGTTTCTGGGTGGGTTGGTGGGTGGGTGGGTGCAGGGGGTGGGTGTGGGTGGGCGGGTGTGGGCTGGGTGGGGGCGGGTGGCCATCCATCCACCCACACCCGCCCGTCCATTCGTCCATCTACGCAGCCATTCCATCCGGCCATCCGGCCATCCGGCCATCCATCCATCCATCCATCCCGCGAGGCTGGTGCAGAAAACGAAAATTCTGGACACTTATGCTGATGCCGGAAATATGACCTGCGAAAAGAATTTGGGAGTCTCTCGGAACGCTCCATTCAGCGCAAGCTATGTGAAAGACAGCGCGAGCCTGCAAGGAGCCCAGCATCTGCATCGCTTCTTGCCAGAGAAGCGCCTTGCCCAGGCCACTCGTGACAGAGTTGTAGCTGATGAGATCAGCGGTGATATCCTCAGCTCAGCAGCCAAAAAAGCCAATGAGCAAAGAGCTAGGCGGAAACACGAGCATGAAACTTTGCCCGAACTAAGACCCCAAGGATCATGGAGCACTCCAAGAGCCTGAGGCCACCCAGCCGCCTTGCTGCAGGCAGAAACGCAGGTGTTGTGGGTCACCAGGTTGGCTTGCGCCCAGGCCCCCTGCCGCTTACCAGCGTCGCTACGGGCCGGCGCTATCGCCACAAACAAGTGACTAGACGAAGGCACTGTGTCCAAATCAGGTCGCAACGATTCTAGAATAATGGACCTATAGAAGATCTGCGTTGAAACACACGCAGACTCTCACACACACAAACACACGCACTCACACACACACACAAACACACACAAACACACAAACACACACACGCACACACAGACACGCATACGCACACACACAGACACGCACAAGGACGCGCGCATGCCCCCGGAAACACACACACACAAACACACCCGCGCAAGCACGCACGTGCGCAAGCTTGCAAGCAAGCGCTCACGCACGAGCAGGCGCGTGCACGCGCGCGCGCCCGCACGCCCGCCCTCACGTACACACACACACACACACACACACGCAGTTGACCAGGTCTCGGGCAAAGACCCTTTACGAAATTATTCCCAGCGCGCGGGCAGCCTGAGCCACTGGGCCCAGCTCTTTCATAAGGACAGATCCAAAGACCAGTTCAGGCATTGCTTTGTGCCCCCTGCTTAGACAGGCAATCAATGTGCCTGTTATCTGCCATAAATAAAAAACGAGACTGTCGCACACGTGCCTCCTTTCTCACACCCCGCCCGTATGAGTGTCACTTCTAATCATGCCGTCGGAATTGTATCTCGATTTGTTCCCTGTAGGCACGCACAAACTTGTTCCAGCAGCCAACTTGCGTGAGAGCAACTTGAAGCTGTCTTTCATATAAACACACACTGGACGGCGCTACCGCAATTGCGGCCAAAGAGGAATAAAACAGACCTTTTTGCAAAGGCTTTCGGGGCTGTCCCAGCATGAGAGCCTCCTTTCACGAGAGGGTTTGATGAGGCCAACGCCTTTGCATTGCTTTTGCTGATCGAGACATGGGCTGAAATCATCCGTCCTTGGCATCGGCCTGCAGAATTTGGGCAGCTCTAGCACAAGGTCGCAACAAGCGCACAGCATACTTTGCAAGCTCTAGATCGCAAGTCGCAACCTTTCCAACCAGGCCTAGCGCGCGAAGTATACATTGGCATCTCCGCCTTGGGACATCGTGACTTTTCATTGCATGTGTAGCAACTTTCAGCACAAGGGATGCCGCTTTGGCAGCTACGGCTCGAAGGCCAGCGCAAGTGCGGAACTCTGGCAGCTTTGGCAGCTCCTGCTCGAAAAGTCGCAACTTTGAGTACAAGTGTAGCATGATGTGGTATACGGGGAACGTTTTGGCAGCTTCGGTTCGAAAGTCGAAACTTTTCAAGCAAAAGGTAGTGCGCAAAGTACAGTTTGGCAGCTTCAGGGCAACAGACTGAATTCGGCATGACAGTTGGGCAGCTGTTTGTGTCCGGGGCTGCGCAGAATACCAATTGGCGAGCCCTTACAGAATGAAAGGGCACAGAACTTCTTGTTCGACCCAGGCTTAATGTTTGTCTTTGCTCTTGGGGACGCAGGAACACCTACAATTTGGTAGGCAAGCAGGCTCTTTCGCAACCCTTTAGCAAGCACGTAAATGACAAACACCTTTTGCGAACCCTTTCGCGGCCTAAAGACGGCAACTCTTTGAAATCAATACTTTGTGGTCACACATACCACTGTCGAATGCAGGGGCAAAAATCAAAAACAGCATTCATGTCATCCAAACAAGTAAGAGGAAAAACCGAGAGCGAGAGAGAAACAGAAAGAGAGAGAGAGAGAGAGAGAGAGAAAAAGCAAAAACATCCGCCGAGCTTGCTTTCCAAACACCGACGCATAAATGCTCAGCGCCGCGTTACTTGTTCCAAAAGTGAATCTTTGCAAACGTGTTGGTCTGGCAAGTCTGTTTAAGTAGCACCCTCAAGCCCTAGCTCTGTATTTCCATCAGGCAAGGCCAATGCGCAGGTGATCGTTTTGCTCATTGACCACACGCAGTTTGTTCGCTCACCAACTGCGTCCGGAACGCCTTACCCCGCAAACGAAGTCAAGCACAGAATTCAGCCCCTGTGGCCGCCACAGTCCGCCACCAATCAAGCGCTGTCCTGCGCCCAGACTAAAAGCGCCAAGGTGATGGTCCACGCGCGGAACCTAGCAAAAAATGCTGGAAGCTGGGCAGCGAAAACGCTCAAAAGCTTGCTTTGGTGAGTTTGTTTGTGCCCCTGGCTCGGGCCACCAGCCTTACAACTGCAGCCAATTCATTGTCACTTCCCTGTGGCCTTGCTGCTGCAAACAGTGCGCTCGCCCTGAGCTAGCATATGCTCACAGTCGCTTGACGGGACTCCCCCAAAAAATGCAGGAATCTCCTTTGCGAACGTACTCCTTGCTATGTCATGTTCCATGTCAATTGGCAGCTTCCATGTTGCAATCTACAGCAAAGTAGCTGGACTGCTGTAGCAGGATTTGCTCTCTTGAGTCCCAAAATCCGCCAGTCCTGAGAACCTCACTGGAAAGAAAGAGGGCGGGTTGCTCAGCTCCCTTGCAACCGAAAGCAATGCGCACCTTTGGCCGGGCTGCTTCTCGCAGGCTGCGATGGTGGACGTCAGCGACACCACGTCTGAGACGCGCGACACTGCCAGAAAGCGCAACGCCGCAGGCCAGCTGTTGGCCGCCTGCGCACAACGCTCCACTCAGTGCCTGACTTGTCATCTTCTGGCGATGGCATTGGTTGACAATGAACATGAGCACCGCTCAAAGGAGAAAACAGTGGGTTTGACTGACTGCTAGAACCCGGAGGCAGTATGTGCGTGCTGGGAACTGCATGAGGCAAACAGTTGAACTTGCCAATCGCACAGGCTCAAGGTACACAATGAAAACATTGGCGCGCCCAAAGTCCACAGCCCACGCACATGCTGCCCTCCGAGCGAACTGGACGAATGGCAGCCACATCACCCGCTACGGAAAGGAAACTGGCATAGCTCCATCCCAGCTCGAAGTTTTTATCTTTGCGCCCTGTGTAACGATTTTTCCTTTGAGCCCTTCCTGCTTGGCACTCGCAAATCGGCACCTCGAAGGGCTGTCAAGAACAAACCATCCTCGGTCGGGCAGCCCATCCAGGCTAGAGGCAACCTTCCGTCACCCTCACCCAGCTAGGCCCCCACCTCGCAAGCGCTGATTGCTGCATTGAAGATGAACAAATCCTGAACGGCGGGACGGGGTCAACGCCACGACAAACCCCGCCCCTCGCAACGCGAAAAATCTATTCGTGTCACCTAAGGTTTGCCGGTTGTCGGTCGTTGCACTTTTGTTGCCGCGCTGGTTCAACATGCTTAGGTGGCTGGGTGTGTTTTGTTGATGTTGCTGCTGTGGTTGTTGCGGTTGTCGCAGTTGTGGCTGTTCTTGTTGTTGCTGTTGCTGCTGCTGTTCCTGCTGCTGCCGTTCGTGTTACTGGTTCTGCTGTTGCTTTGCTGCTGTTGTTCCCGTCCGCTGTCGCAGTCGCCGTCGCTGTGGGTGAAGTTGTCGTTGTTGCTGTTGTTTTTCGTTGTTGTTGGCGGCGGTGTTCGTGTTGCCCCTTGCTTGTGTTATTGCTCTTGTTCCTGTTCTTGTTGCTGCCGTCACTGCTGCAGCAGCTGCTGCTGCCATTGTTGTTCTCGCTGTTGTTGCTGTTGCTGCTGCTGCTGCTGGTTGTTGTTGTTGCTGTTGCTGTTGTTCTTGGTCTTGTTGCTGTTGCTGATGTTGTTGCTGTTGCTGTTGCAGTTGTTTTGTTTTTGCTGCTGTTGCCGTTGCCGTTGCCGTTGCCGTTGCTGTTGTTGTTGTTGTTGTTGCTGCTGTTGCTGTTGGTATTGTTGTTGTCGCTGTTGCTGTTGGTGTTGTTCGTGCTTTTGCTGTTGGTGATGTTGCTGCAGTTTGTATCGTTGTTGGTGTTGTGGTTGTTGTGAGCGTTCTTGTTCTTCTTTTTGTTGTTGTTGTTGAAGTTGTTTTGCTGAAGTTGCTGCTGCCGCCGTTGATGTTCTTGTTGCTACTGCTTTTGTTGTCGTAGTTGCGATTGGTGTTGCTGCTGTTGCAGCTGCTCCTGCTGCTGTTGTTAGTATTACCGTCGCTGCTGCGAATGCTGGTGCTGTTGCATGCCCGTTGTTGTTGTTTCCGCGGGTATTGCTGTTGCCGTTGCCTGTTGTTGCTGTCGCTGTCGCGTTGCCGTTGTTGATGTTGCTTTTTGTTGTTGTTGATGCTGCCGTGGCCGTTGCCGTTGCCGTTGTTGCTGTTGCTGTTGGTATTGTTGTCACTGTTGCTGTTGGTGTTTTGTTGTTGCTGCGCTTGTTGTTGCTGTTTATGTTCCTGTTCCTGTTGCTGTTGCTGTTGTTGTTGTTGTTGCTGCGGCTGCTGCTGTTTTGTTGTTGTTTCTGTTGTTGTTGTTGTTGTTGTTGTTGTTGTTGTTGTTGTTGTTGTTGTTGTTGTTGTTGTTGTTGTTGTTGTTGTTGTTGTTGGTGTTGGTGTTGTTGTTGTCGGTTGTTGTCGGTTGTTGTTGTGTGTTGTTGTTTGTTGTTGTTTGTTGTTTGTTGTTGTTTGTTGTTGTTTGTTGTTGTTTGTTGCTTGTTGTTGTTTGTCATTTGTTGTTTGCTGTTGCTGTTGTTGCTGCTGTTGCTGTTGGTATTGTTGTTGTCGCTGTTGCTGTTGGTGTTGTTCGTGCTTTTGCTGTTGGTGATGTTGCTGCAGATTGTATCGTTGTTGGTGTTGTGGTTGTTGTGAGCGTTCTTGTTCTTCTTTTTGTTGTTGTTGTTGAAGTTGTTTTGCTGAAGTTGCTGCTGCCGCTGGTGATGTTCTTGTTGCTACTGTTTTTGTTGTCGTAGTTGTGATTGGTGTTGCTGCTGTTGCTGCTGCTCCTGCTGCTGTTGTTAGTATTACCGTCGCTGCTGCGAATGCCGGTGCTGTTGCATGCCCGTTGTTGTTGTTTCCGCTGATGTTTCTGTTGCCGTTGCCTGTTGTTGCTGTCGCTGTCGCGTTGCCGTTGTTGATGTTGCTTTTTGTTGTTGTTGATGCTGTTGCCGTGGCCGTTGCCGTTGCCGTTGTTGTTGTTGCTGTTGGTATTGTTGTCACTGTTGCTGTTAGTGTTTTGTTGTTGCTGCGCTTGTTGTTTCTGTTTCTGCTCCTGTTCCTGTTGCTGTTGTTGTTGCTGCTGCTGCTGTTTTGTTGTTGTTGTTGTTGGTGTTGGTGTTGGTGTTGTCGTTGTTGTCGTTGTTGTCGTTGTTGTCGGTTGTTGTCGGTTGTTGTCGGTTGTTGTTGTTGTTGTTGTTTGTTGTTTGTTGTTTGTTGCTGTTTGTTGTTTGTTGTTTGTTGTTTGTTGTTGCTGTTGCTGTTGCTGTTGCTGTTGCTGTTGCTGTTGCTGTTGCTGTTGCTGTTGCTGTTGCTGTTGCTGTTGCTGTTGTTGTTGTTGTTGTTGTTGTTGTTGTTGTTGTTGTTGTTGTTGTCTGTTGTTGCTTGTTGTTGCTGTTGTTCTTGGTCTTGTTCTTGTTCTTGTTGTTTGCTGTTGTGTGTTGTGTGTTGTGTGTTGTTGTTGTTGCCGTTGTTGTTGTTGCTGTTGCTGTTGTTTTTAACTGTTGTTGTTTGCCGTTGTGTGTTGTTGTGTGTTGTTGTTGTTGTTGTTGTTACTGTTGGTTGTTGGTTGTTGGTTATTGGTTATTTGTTTCTTGTT